AAAAGTAAAAATTAAAATATTTTAACATTTTAAATGTTAAGATTTTTTAAGAAATCATTTCAATGTCTTTAATACTTTTTTTTATATATTGATAAAGATATTAGTTTTTTCATTATTATTCTTGCTATTATAGTTGTCAAAATATTTTATTTTTTTTTAATTTTAAATATAAAATCAATAATAATTTATAAATTAAAAATATATTAGTTATTTCTTTATTAAATCTGGAGCTTCCAAACGCATTCAATTTGAATTGATTAAAATATTAAGTTGGTCCCTTAATTTTTAGATTGATGTCAAAATCACCTTTTAATTTCAAAAATATTAAAATTATTCTTAAACTTTAATTTTTAATACTAAAATAGTTTTTCTGTTAACAAAAGTATTATGTGACTTATTAATTTACCACAAAATCGATTCTTTTTAAAATACTAATTATGTATAAATTCAAATAGTCATATTTTATCATCATAATATATTTTTATTTACACATTAAATTGACATATAATTAAAGTTAAAAAACCAAACTGATATTTGTAATAAAAGTTGAAGGACTAATTTCATTCTTGTTTTTAAAGTTTAGAAACTAAGTTTGTACTTGTTCTTAAAGTTCAAGGTTATTTTGATACTAAAAATTAAAGCTTATGGACAATTTAGTATTTTTCAAATTTAAAGGGCAATTTTAGTATAAATTTAAAAGTTGAGGGACTAAGTTAGTATTTTAACCATTCGAATTTGAGTCTACAACTCATGAGTTACTCATTTTCAACCCTAAAATTTACCCTTGGCAGTGGCACAATGGTAGGATGCAACTTAAACCATGGATACCACTATGGTTTAAATCTTTGTGATATAATCCCTCTTACCCCAATTTCCTGATATTCAAAAGAAAAACAAAATCTTAAAATTTAGTTATAAATATGAAGTTAAAAAGTTAAATTTCAACAGACTTATCTTTGTCATTTTGATTAAATCTTACTAAACATTTTCTTTGCCTTACATGAAAATTCAAAATCATTATTGTTTTTACATTGATTTCTACACACACATTGAAAACGGCAAACTAATTAATTGACAAAGCGGTCTATATTATTCATGTACAGAGATGATGCAATGTCAAGCTGGTGATTGCCGTGCATTTTTCACTCGCATTTAGGGCAGGCCATAAGCATGCGTTTTCCCTTTTGCTTCGCTATTAAATCACTGTAAAAAGAAAAATAAAAGGAAAAATAAAAGGAGAGAACTAAATCATTAATTGTTCATATATACAGAGGTAAAACAGAAGTTCGATCCAGACTGATAAAAAAAATTTGAGAGCACAAACCGTAGGGTGCAGGCGAGGGAGGCGGCCTTTTCAATGTCTCTATCTTGTCTTGCCTTGATGATTTGGCAGACAAGGTTGAGGAGAACTTGGTTCCCTGCCTTTTGTCTGAAAATCAACTCAGTCTCCTCTCGAAGTTGTGCACATTGGCTTCCAATTTCTTCCAACTTTTCTCTGATTTTCTTTTGCTGCTCTCTTATGCCTCTTTGCTCTATGCTTATATTTGCCATATCCACTCTTAACCTTTTCACGGTCTTCTTGATCTTCTTCTCCATCTTTATTTTCTATGCACAATATTGAGATATAAGTAATTAGTATATATATCACCAACATTTACAAGTAAATTGATTAAAATTCTGTGCACTGAAAAATTAAAAAATTCTAAATTCAAGTCAATTAACTCAAGTAGTCGTCACTGCGTTATTTTTAATTGTATATTCTGAAAAAAATAACAGAAAGGAAGAAAGTAGACTGATCATATTAATGGATTTTAACAATACCTTCTGCCTCTTCATCGTGGATGTTAAACCAGATGGCTCAACTGGATTACAAGCTCTCCTAGCAGCGACCGGTGCCATACCTATCTTAAATATATCAGAAAGGGCAGAGTTCACAACTGAGTAAGAACAGATATAAACAAAAAAAAAAAAAAATCCAAGTGCTGCTGCTGCTCTACTTCAGTATCTGGGTGAAGTGCTAGTTAAGGGCAAAGGGTGTCTTATATAGACATGCATATGCTTGACCGTGTGGTTCCGATCCGAGAATTACCAGGAAACTCATTAATTAAATAAAAAAAAAAAGAAAGAGGAGGAGAAACTAATAGGAAATGAGATGGAACGATCAAAGAGAGAGATGACTAAAAACTTTATTGATTGTTTGACTTTGTCAATATTTCTCCTCATAAAATAATTACTTGTACATTATATTTGGTTTATTTGTGTCTAAAATTCAATCCAAATCCTTATGCTTAAAAAAAATAATCCCTTAATGTTTAATTAATTTTCAATTTTAGTTTCTGAATTTTAAGATTTTATATAATTTTTTTCTCTCACTTATTTTAAGTATTTTTTTATTCTTTTAACTCTAAAAATACTTTTTTTTGTCTTTTTATTCATTAATTTATTAAATCTATTTATATATACACATTTTTAATTTATAACTTCATAAATTTAGTGTAAAAATATACATATATTATAACTTTAAAAACAAAAAATATACATTTTTTAAAATTTAGTAACCAAAGAAAAAAGAAAAAAGAGTTAAAAGAACAAAACTATATATGAAATCTTAAAGTAGAGAGACTAAAACTAATGTTTAACCTTAATTTTTTTTAATGGACAGGCGATAAACCTTAATTTTTTTTAATGGACAGGCGATAAACGAGTATTCTCGTTCGATCAATACCCACAAGTTTCTTGCTAATTGATTTAAAAACGAAAGGCGGAAAACGCACGAAACACACAAAACACGCCCTTGACTAAGCGGTCTTATTGGAACAATGTTCTTTTCTCTGGTCAGCTATTGGAACAGTGTTCTGATGATATGTATGATGTTTCCTATTGTGTATACGGATATAATTGAGAATTCAGTTATACCGATGTAATTCAGAATTCAGTTCCAGGACAATTTCTACTGGTTATTAATATATTATT